CTTACTTCACTCTGTATGACAGTCTCTAGGTCCATCCATGATGATAAGTTCTTGAGCAAGTCTTTGAGCCTCTCAACCTCAGTTACTCATCTGTAAAATGCGTGGGATGATTCTTGCCTCAGGATTGATTTTGAGAGAGAGTAATTAGAGAACATTTAGGAAAATGCTTCGTTGCTGAGTCCTAGCCCCAGGCCTGGCACATACTAGTACTTCTATCAGTGTTTTTTAAACATCAAGGCAATATTTAATTAAGATAAGGTGGGGGGCTTCCCTGGTGTCGCAGTGGTTGAGAGTCCGCCTGCCGATGCAGGGGACACGGGTTCGTGCCCCGGTCCGGGAAGATCCCACATGCCGCGGAGCGGCTGGGCCCGTGAGCCATGGCCGCTGAGCCTGCGCGTCTGAAGCCTGTGCTCTGCAATGAAAGAGGCCACAGCAGTGAGAGGCCCGCATACCGCAAAAAAAAAAAAAAGAAAAAAGATAAGGTGAACGGGCTAGTTTTTTTTGTTTGTTTGTTTGTTTTTTGGTGGGACATTGTGGTAACCAACAAGTATACATGAGAAATACCCAGTTGTCCACTTTGTCGGATCTTTTACTGAGTTACCCTGGGCAGATAAAGAATGATACATGCACACATACATTTAAAAAATATATCCAGTGTAAAAGCTATAGGGCAAGATAGGTTATTAAGAAGTGTGAATATTGTAAATATGGGACACCTATAACATGGCTCTTTTTAACTCTATGTTTAGATATGGCAACTTTTGACAAACAATTCAGAACATTTTCGCCCTAAGGTATGTTAATGGATTAACACAGAAAAATAAGGTAGTAGAATTATATGCTTTTGACTTTAATGATTTGATTTTTAAGCTGGAAAGTTAAGGCACATTCACCACATGTGGTGGGTAACAGTGATTCTTGCCTGGAGTATCTTAGAATCCTTCTTTGCAATATCAGAAAAAAAGAAAGGCCTCTGCTTTTCCCCATAAGCTACAAAGAATGGGTCACAAGTGAGTGAAACCAAAATTGTAATAAATCTCATTATAGTGATATAGAGATAATTTGGTGTTAGAAAATAGGTTCTCGCCTGTTTATTCCGAGCAAGTTGCATCTTGCACTGGGTGGAAAGAATGCTGATGGAGTTGCTTTTTGCTGTTGATGTACTCTTTTAAGAAGCACGGGAGTGAAAAATACGTTTAGGCTTACGTAGTCATCTTTGAGCAAGTTCATCTCCTGTTTTTGACCTTCATCATTCATTTATTCATCATCCATTCAATTGTTTGTTGACTCTTGCCATAACTAATTGAGTGCCTCTAGCAGCCTTTAGTGATACTTGAGTGAATATTCAGAGATCCAAGCCCTCATGGGATTGCAAGTGAGTGTAGAACACAATTGAACAAGGAATAGCATTATGGGGTAATGGAAGGCCAGTGTTAAGGGATCTTGGGTCCCTTCTGATGGAGCTCCAGCTGCTGCTGCCATTGATGGAAGCGGACGCATTGAATACTCTGCCTCTTCCTCTTTCACTTCCCCATCCTCTCTCCCCAGTCATGAATTGCACACCCCTCCCCGAAATGTGAACCTCCATTCCCTTCACTCTTGAGCTCTTAAAGGATTCATCCCCAGCTGCAGCACTTTTATTCCACATTCCAGAGGCTTCCTACTTCCTCTGCTTCCCCTTCTCTATCTCACCACTCACGGGGTTCCCCAAGTGTGTTGGGCTTACTTAATCTTGAAGAATGGGAGGGCAGGGCTCAGGACTGGGGTGGATGTAACTACAACTCCCACCTACAACTAGAATGTAGTTTCTTGAAGCATCCTATAAAGAAGGGTGGTTTACAAAAATCCTGTTGAAATTTAACATTTGTGTGTGCGGAGTCTACAAAACAATTCAAATGGAAATGGTATCTTTAAGTATTTTGTCTTCCAACCCATGAATGTGGTATATGTCTTGATTTATTTGGGTCTTTAATATTGTTCAGTAAGCTTTATATTTCTTCCTACTGAGGTCTTAAGTTTCTTTGTCACATATATTTTGAGATTGTTGATATTTCTTTTTTTAAAAAATTTATCTTATTTTTAATTTATTTATTTTTGGCTGTGTTGGATCTTCGTTGCTGCGTGCAGGCTTTCTCTAGTTGCAGCGAGCGGAGGCTACTCTTCTTTGCGGTGCGTGGGCTTCGCATTGCGGTGCCTTCTCTTGTTGTGGAGCATGGGCTGTAGGTGCATGGGCTTCAGTAGTTGTGGCACGCGGGCTCAGTAGTTGTGGCTCACGGGCTCTAGAGTGCAGGCTCAGTAGTTGTGGCGCAGGGGCTTAGCTGCTCCGCAGCATGTGGGATCTTCCCAGACCAGGGCTCGAACCCTTGTCTCCTGCTTTGGCAGGCGGATTCTTAACCACTGTGCCATCAGGGAAGTCCCAACAATTATGTTTTAAATTTAGTTTGCTCATATATGCAAAGTCCTCTCTAAAGAGAAAGGGAAGGAGGGAGGGAGGGAAGGAGGGAGAAATGAAGGAAGGGAGGAAGGGAGGGAAGGAGGGAGGGAGGGAAGAAGAAAACTATCTAGTTTAGGGGACTTCTCTGGCGGTCCAGTGGTTAAGACTTCTCCTTCCAATGCCGGGGGTGCGGGTTCGATCCCTGGTCGGGAGCTAAGATCCCACATGCCTCGGGGCCAAAAAACCAAAACATAAAGCAGAAGCAATATGGTAACAAATTCAATAAAGACTTTAAAAATGTTCCACATCGAAAAAATCTTTAAAGAAAAAAAGTCTCTGTGCTCCCAATGCAGAGGGCCCTGCTTTGATCCCTGCTCAGGGAACTAGATCCCGCATGCCACAACTAAAGATTCCGCATGCCACAACTAAAGATAATGCATTCCAGAACTAAAGATTCCGCATGCTGCAACTAAAGATCCCACATGTGACAACGAAGGTCCTGCATGCCGCAACTAAGACCCAGCGCAGCCAAAGATAAATAAATTTAAAAAATAAAAAAACAATAAAATAAAATTCTTGAGTTTAAAAAGAAAGAAAGCAAGCTTAGTTCTTTTGTCCTAGAGACCCTTCATTGGAAATGATAATTGTATCTGTCATGATCTATTAAAAACATTTTATTTATTTATGTACTTATTATACACATGCCCCTTTCAACTTAGCAGCGCTACTCCTGGGACTTTATTCAGCAGAAATAAAAAGCACTTGTTTGTAAGGATATATGGCCATGATGTTTACTGCAACATTGTTTGGGGGCAAAAAACTGGAAATAGAGTGAATACCCATGAATATGGAAATGATTGAATACATTAGGTAGTGGTTGTACAAAGGAATATTATGTAACCATTAAATGGAAATGAATGAGAGCTAGTCCAGTAAACATGAAGTGATTTCCAGTGAAGTGTTTGCTGAGAGAGAAAAAGAAGAGGAGGAAGAGTATCTTTTATGATTTTTTTTTTTTTTTTTGTAAATATCATACCCCTGTGCATGTGTGTGTATAATTCAAAGCCAAGTAAGGAGCCTGGACCCCAAGATCTCATGGATTCCAAGTTCCAGTTTGTATGTAGACGTCACCCATACCCTCTAGACAAGCCTCACCAAGTGTGTTTCCAGGAAGAAATCGTTTAGAGGAAGGAAATATCCCTCAACTGCTCGCCACCAGGGAAGCCCCATATATGTTTTTTGGTCCTTGATGTAAATGGGTAGACTTGTCCTCTACTGGTTTGTTGTGAAATGATTACCCTCAGTCAGTAAATGGAGAATAGAGAGTATTGCAGGTAGGCCTGTGAGCTTTGGGTTTCAAGTAGCACTGTAATCCTTACTGATTTGTAGTTAAATAAATAGTTATTGTGAAGTGGTGCATTTGAGTGATTTTGGTGAAAAGTGCACTTGAAAGAAAATCCTCATAACTGCTTTCAGCAGATGCACTTTATTACGTACACAAAGGTCATCAGAGCGACCCTGGGCTGAATAATTACTTTGCTTATCCTTTCCTAACTGCCTAGTGAGCTGTGTTATTCAAAAGGCTGATGTTGTCTTCCAGATTACGTTTTGGCAAAATGCTGGTTCTTCTTTACTGAGGATTTTAGGTTATTGTTTATTGACGTGTCATTTTGCAACATGAGATATTTCTCACTGTAGTCCCTCCGCCTTTGAGGAATAAAAGTTCAGGAACATTTACTAATTGCCAATCATGTGTCAAGCACTTTGCTAGGAGCTGGGGATTCAGAGAGACAGGACAGGCATTCACAGTCAGTGGGCAAGACAAAAATGCAATGAGTTTTTTGGGGGGAGAAAATTATATGTAGAGGGCTTACAGGAGTGTGGGGTGTTAAGATTAATATGGCTTATCAGAGGTGATGTCTGTGTGTTGGGGCCTTGCAGAATGCATAGGAGTTCTCAGGCAGCTAGGAGGGGAGTTGGGAAGAGAGGACTCTGTGACAAAGAGAAGCACAAAGTCCTGGAATGTCTAGAGCCTGGCCAGTCTGAGGAAGGACAAGTATGCCTGGAAGGAGGGTGAGTCAGGAGTATATGGAAACCAGGCTTGAGAAGTAGGCAGGGGAAGATCCTGGAAGGCCTTGTTTACCATTTTGAGGAATTGACTTGTCCCGTGAAGGATGGGTACCCACCAAATGAAGGGAGGGTTGCAGCCAGACATTCTTTTTATGCGGCTGACTCTGATGACAGATTAGGTGCTACTGGGGGCAGGAAACCCGGATAGGAAATACTGATTCCTTAACTCAGAGGATAGGCTAGTTTCTGTTTGTATGTTCTTAACTGACCTTAAGAAAAAACATACGCAGTCAGTGAAAAAGTTTCCGGAACTTGGACAAGAAAGATAGTCTAAAACCATATACCAGGGCTCATATAATCAACAGGAATATTAAATGTTTGAGTTAGAAGCCTTTGAAATTGCAGTATTTTTAAAAAATATATACTTCAGAGACTGGGGATTAGTTTATTGGAATGGGTCCCTTTTCTAGATTTATGATCCTGTTTATCCTTGTAGGTGATACTCTCTGGAATCATAGGATTAACAACTTGGAAACGGCCTATGATACTCCTGGTATGTACTGATCTTATAAATTTTTACCCTTTGTAAAATGTGCTGTTTATGAAGTCTGTTGAAATAAATTGTTGAGAAAGTGCTAAAGCTTCCTTGTTCATTAAAAAAAGAAGTTAACAATGGACAATATTAGAAGCCAGATGTTCTCATGACAGTAAAGTAAGACAGTAATTATGCTGCTTTTCTGATTCACTTTAAGCTTCTTATATACCCAATTCTATACATGTGTTTCAAGTTCCAGGATTAGATCTATTGTAAAGATATAACAAAAGCAAAGCAAAACAAAACTAAATGGCTGGGACTTCCCTGGTGGCACAGTGGTTAAGAATCCACCTGCCAGTGCAGTGGACACGGGTTTGAACCCTGGTCCGGGAATATCCCACATACCGTGGAGCAACGAAGCCCATGTGCCACTACTGAGTCTACTCTCTAGAGCCCACAAGCCACAACTACTGAGCCCACGTGCCATAACTACTGAGCCCATGTGCTGCAACTACTGAAGCCCGCATGCCTAGAGCCCGTGCTCTGAAACAAGAGAAGCCACCACAATGAGAAGCCTGTGCACTGCAACGAAGAGCAGCCCCTGCTCACTGCAACTAGAGAAAGCCCACACACAGCAATGAAGACCCAACGCAGCCAAAAATAAATAAATTTTAAAAAATAAATAAATTAAAAAAAAAAAAGAATCCGCCTTCCAATGCAGGGGACGTGGGTTCGACCCCTGGTCAGGGAACTAATATCCCACATGCCACGGAGAAACAGCCCATGCGCCGCAACTACTGAGCCTGTACACTCTGGAGCTCGTGTGCCACAACTAGAGAGAAGCCTGTGCGGCGCAACAAAGAGCCCGCGTGCTGCAAGTAATAACCCAAAGCAGCCAAATTATTTAATTAATTTAAAAAATAGTCTTAAAAAAAACCGCACTAAACGGCTTACTCTGGGCATTTTGAACATACACAAAAGTGAAGGGAATGATATAATGAACTCCCTGTATCAATCATCCAGCTTCAACAATTATCAATCCTTAGCCAATCTTGTTCAGTTAGACGCTTACCCATTCCCCACCCCTTCCACATTCTTTTTTCCTCCACATTCTTTTAAAGCAAATCTCAGCTTAAATCATAAATACATTATTTTTTATTGTTACAGTACTTTGTTTGGGCAATCTCAGAATTTCCTTCCTTAGATTTCCTATATTCTCTCTTTATCACACCTATATTATATGTTCATCGTAATAGACACATATATTGTTGACTTTATCCTTTTTTTAGTTATTCAGGTAAAATTCACATAGTATAAAATTAACCATTTTAAAGTGTACAATTCGATGGCATTTAGTAAATGCCCATCCTTTATTTATGTCCTTTTGATTCAGGGAATACTATAAAAAAATAGACAAATGCCAATGGAGAGGCCAACTTACAAGGATGAGATAGAGGATCTAGGAAATTCAGTTTGAAGTATGCTTAAAAATTTTTATTTTTCTGTAGAGCATCTCTTGTCTTTCTCCCATCCATTTTGAAATAGGGTTAAATAATTTTCTGAATTCATTCCATTTATATACATAACGCAGCCAGGCTGTCCTTCAGACCACTGTTTGCTAAGTGATGGGTAACAAATATAAAACTAGTTAAATTCTTAAATACAAGGAGATGAAGCACATTTCAGGATACAGTGAGAATAATGGAGCCCAATACTGTGTTGACGATCTTGAAAAACTGAACTGAAGAGTTTTCAGACCCACAAGACGATGCAGGCAACATTTTACAGGTCCATCAATTACTGCATTTGGTGAAACTTTGTTAATGTTTCCAGAAGGAGTAAATGATTGATACAGCATTTTAATATATTAGACATCAGGATAGGAGAAAATGAGGCTTTGGATGCATCTTATGGCATGTGTGTTATGAGTACTCGGGGTTTGTTTTACAACTCTCTAGGTTTACAGTCACTGCAGAAAAATTTTTGATGGTGTTCAATGTTTATACTAATATTTGGTTATAGGCGTCATCTTTGCACTGTCCTTTTCCATTGGGTCAGTATTGAGATGCTCAGTAATACGAACCTCAGGTATTTAGAATCAGAAAACTATCTAATCTAATGCTATTTGTACTTTTAAAATTCCAAATGGTGAAGAGAATATGAGTGCTCGTTCTAGACAGATATTAAGAAAGTCCACCTTTTAAAATATTTCTTTCTTTAACATGGTTTTCTTTTGGAAAGGTGCTCTTGTAAATTCATTATGTGAGCTCAAGCAACTTTAAATGAAAATAAGCTTAATAAAAATGTATTTCTCATCCTTGTTAAGTATATGTACTTTGTCACAAAGTTGTAATTCGTTTGTACATACCATGTTGTGCTCTGCTTTTTCTGTTTAATATGAAATTAAGTTCACATTAGTAGCTATTATGTTTCCCTGTACGAGGAGTCCACATGCCTATCACTTAGAATTGCTACGCAGCATTTTGTCATATTTCTGTATTACCATCAGTCATAAGCCTGTTGGACATCTGAGCTCCAAAGTTTTGACTATTATGAATTATGTAGTTAGAAGGTCATTTAGTGATCATTTTGAAATGTTAATTAACATCAGTTTATAAAGAAGATAAATTAATTGGCAGGAATTGTGCAAGGGAAAACTTTCTGAGTATATTAGTAGGTCATTTGAGCCTTAGTCAGTATCATAGAGGAAAAAACAGTCCATGGGAATCTTAGTAGTATATCATTATAACCTCTGCCAAATGCTTTTGTTATTTTAAAAAGCCAGATGAAAGAAACTGACGCACCAGTCAGACACTCCTGGTTTGAGTCCTAGTTCATTTACGGAAGAGCTATGTCACTCTGTGCAAGCCACTTAGCTTCTCTGAGTCTAGTTTTCTTTTCTGAACAGAGGATAATCTAGTGACCCTCAATGGATACTTTACCTTTTTTTTTTGGTTCCCCAGGCATCCCCCTTTCTGAGTTTAGGGAACCTGCCATCAGATGATTTGAGTGGGAGGCTGTGTTCATTAGAGAAGCCAGAAGTGCCGGTGTGTTTTTGCAGAGCCGGGCTGGGCTGGTCAGAGTCACAGCCCTACCGCCATTCACGTCCCGCACTCTACCTACAGGGGCACCTTCTGACTCTGACACAGCCAGGCTGTCCTTCACAAACCTAGGACTTTCCTTCCCTAGCTGTTTGCTTGGCTGCCTTCTTCTCTTCTGGGTCTCAGCTCAGCAGTCATCTCAAGAGAGAGACCTTCCTTGACCACCCTGATTGCAGTGACCCCTCCTCTGTGCCCCTCACCGGGTCCCAGCACTGAATACTGGCTTCTTCTTGGTCTGTAAGTAGCCTGAGTGCACCTCACCTGTCTCCCCCAGTAGATGGTCAGTCAGTTCTGTGAGGACAGGGGTCTCTCCCCAGGACCACTGTGCTCAGGACACACTTAGGTTTGAACGGTGGCAGTAATTTGGCAACCAATAAGAAATTCAGATCCTGGATTAGTTCTCAAAGTTTCTCTTTTACATTTGTCTTAAATTTTTCTCACTTGTTTTTGTTCACTTGAACTTTGTATTTACCACCTTTTAACTTCAGGGTGGTTAGAGAGTATTTTGGTAGTGGAGTTTGGGAGGGGGCTGGTTGGTCTCTTTAGGGGCTTTCAAGAGGCAAGCTGTTCTCATTTTGAGTTGTTGGGTGTCTAGAACATTTGAACACTTCCTTTTGAGAGCGTTTACATTTGTGCTCCCTCTTTGTGTTTGTTTCAGTGATTACATCAGGTTTATACTGGTTTGAGCAAAGAAGGTCAGTTTGACCTAGTTCCTTCAAACTCAAGTTTTCATGGAAACTCAGAGTTGGAAGATTTCATTCACTGGGTCCTCTTCTTTCTAACTGATAGAATACTCAGGTGTCCAGAACAAAATAATAATTTTGGGAGACACTTTGTGAATGTTTGTAGCTATTTTGGGCTGTGACTGGTATTAAGGTTGGGGGTGTGTGCATGTGCGTGTGTATGGTATTCTATCAAGAATACTTGTGTATTTTCCATCAAGAGCAAACGTTTTCCTTTTTTTTTTTTGCGGTACTCCGGCCTCTCACTGTTGTGGCCTCTCCCGTTGCGGAGCACAGGCTCTAGACGCGCAGGCCCAGCGGCCATGGCTCACGGGCCTAGCCGCTCCGCGGCATGTGGGATCTTCCCGGACCGGGGCACAAACCCGTGTCCCCTGCATCAGCAGGCAGACTCTCAACCACTGCGCCACCAGGGGAGCCCAAACATTTTCCATTTTAAAAGAATGTTCCTTATATTTTCTAGATATCATTCAGTTTTCATTCTAATGAAATGTTTTAGACTTGTTTAGAAATCACAGACTCAGTGCTGGGAATGACCTCAAAGATTGCCTTACTTAGGCACCTCAGTTGGAAAACAGAATTGTCTTGATAAGATAGTTACTGAATTGGTGGACTGGACCAGGGCTGGTGTCCTAACCAGGGTGGAGACCCCTTGTCTCTGCCAGGAAGGTTCTTTCTCCTATTGGATTTGCACAGCCAGTAACAAAACTGATGCTGAGACTGGAACAGCACAAGCTTTTCTTTTCTTTTTTTTTTTTAACTATAAAGATGTTTTTATTTTTTTAATTTTTTTTCACATCTTTCTGAGAGTATAATTGCTTTACAGTGTTGTGTTAGTTTCTGCTGTATCACAGCGTGAATCAGCTATATGTATACATATATTCCCATATTCCCTCCGTCTTGAGCCTCCCTCCCACCCTGGAACAGCACAAGCTTTATTCAATGGCCAAAGGATGGAGAAGAGGGAACCTAGTTCTCAAATCCACTTCTCAACCCAATTTGGGGGAGAGACACCAAATATATAGGAGGGTCAAGGTAAAAGGAGGGAGGGAATTAGAAAGAGTGGGAAGAACACTCATGAGTTATTCGAGAATCAGAGTGTGGTTTGGTCCTGGAACTGATGCAGCTCTCCTTTTCAGTCGTTATGTGGGCTTTTCCAGTTGTTGTCATGGCAATC